ACCTCTGTGTTGTGCCTGGTTTCTTCAGCAGCCAGACCACACCTCACTCTCCTGAGTCCACAGGACACCAGGGGGACCCTGGACCCTATTGAACCAGGGGGACAAATGGCATACTTACCGGAGGTCCTACAGTGTTACAACTTCCACAAGAAGCACCAGGCAGGGAAGAGATGCATGAATGTAGACATTCTGTCATGTTACCCTTGCTATTTGAAGGATTGCAGTGCTGCAGGACCTTATCCAGGATGAAGAAAAGAGTACTATGTGTTGCATGGACTAATAGGAAAGCTTGTACAGCATGGTAGGACTGTTGGAGTAGGACCTGGGGAAACTGACTTGCAAAGAGACAAAGAACTGAGAGATTGGGCTGCTCTTTCACTTCAGGGTCAAAGACCTCAGGGGATTTTCATTCCCCGATCTGTAAGTCAACAATGCACTCTGCACTGCAGGACAGGTCCATTTCAGACAATTCTACTGTCCCCAGAGCCATCACAGGTTCATGTCAATGTGGAACACTAAATCTGGACCTAAGGACTTGTACCTGGGCAAAAAGGGCCCCCTGGATCACCCCTGGTCCTGACTTTAGTGGCATAAGATGAGTGCAGAGTCAAGAACTGAGCAGGGGAAAGCTGATATGACTCCACATTAAAGCGGAGCCAGCAACAATATGTCCTGGTGACCATAGAATATTTCACCAGGTGGCTCAAAACATATGTCCTGGCGGACTAGAGCTGCACCACAATTTCCAATGTCCTAGTAGCTTTTCACTCTTTGAAATGATTTGTCAGAATTGCAAGTACCTTGCATTGCCTTGTACAGATGAAATGTGCCAGGGGTTTTGTCTGGTTGAAGATATGTGGCAATATATGGTGGTGCTCTGCAAGGACCAGCCGACAGCATACCAGTTCAGAGAAAATCACAAATTAGGTACTGTAACTGGGAACTGAATCAGTGAAGCGGGACTGTCTGTCCCTCAACAGAGGGGTGACCACAGATAGGGGGTTCCAGTGTGTAACATTCATCCCAGTCATTGAGGACCACATGACAACAGAGGTCACCTCCACAGCTGGAGGTCTTTGAAAGCAAGTGTAATGCTGACAGAGGGGGCTGCTCTTCACCTTACACTCGTTCTGAATCACATTCTGTGTTTTAACGCCATTTCAAACAGATGCAATATCATGAGTTTGAATGAACACAACGTTTGCTCTTTGTAGCTTCCAGCTACTGTAGTTTTTGCAAGCAGACTGTCATGATTATGTTGGTGAAACCCTTTACACTGTTGTTTGTTACATCCCAGAAGGCTAAACTGCAGAAGAAAACGAGCACATTGCTCCACTCTTTTAAAAAGATTATTACTGTCACGGAAGCCGGAAAGAGGCCGGCGAGACGGGAAAACCCTATGCGAAGCAGCAGGAACGGAGCAAACAAGGGGGTTCGCTCCGGGCTCAAGGTATCGGGTGGAGTCGGGGACGAGACATAAACCTTCAGGTAGCGGAGCAAACTGGTGAGGCAAACCTCTCGACAACCAATCCCAATGCCGAGCGAGGAGGAAAGGACAATAAATAGTAAACCTCCGCCAGACGCACCTGACGCACCGGAAGCACATAAACAGGCGCAGGGAAGCAAGGAACCGCACAGAAAGGTGGAGCGCCCTCTAGGGCTAGGAAGAGGGGCGTGACAATTACCTTGCCCCAGGAAATTTGAAGTTTGTTAAACGATGCATCTATGTGTCGTTATCTCAATTGGCTTGTTAAACATTGCATGAATCTTGGTTAAATATATACAAGTAATGGACTACCGTGTAGCGCCATTTCGAAATTAATAATTATTTTTTTAATAAACATAACAACTGTTACAGGTGAGAGGAGAACATTTGGCTCAACTAGTTGAGTTGACTTAGTGCCTTTAAGTATTTTGAAAATTTGTATCAGGTGTTTTGTTTTTAAACTACAAAATATTTATGGGACTCTCTCATTGTTTTCAGTGAAATAATTTACTTCATTTTCATAAAAACAATAGTAGACCACAACAGTTCCTTGTTCAAATGACTGGCTTTAAGCTATGAATTGTCCTTGTATCCGTTACAGCTGATCTCCATGTAAACGTATTGGGGTCCACCGAATTAGAAGATTAGAGACTAAAAATCTATGCTGCTCCGGGGTGGTAACAAGCAAATAAAGGACTTTGCAAGAGGAGGAACATAATGGAGGTCCCAATTATTTAAGACGGCTTTGGCACGTGTCAGTAGCATGAAGACTTGATTTAAGTTGCACCTTACACATCTTTACAACAAAATTGGTGAGCTGGGTGTCTGCAGAGACTCTGAGTGCAAAGAAGGTGGCACCTATCATTTCAACAGTCTACAGAGAATGTTTTGGCAGCTTCTGCTGCTGTTTTTCCAAGTATGACAATTGATTACCTAGAAATTTAAATTAGGTTTCTTCTATTCTTAAAAAAAATGGATCTATGCAATGGATCTATAATGTCACACTGCCAATTACAGAACTGTGTTTCCTATCATTTACCTCTGGAAACCTCAGGAGGAATAGAATCTCATCCTCCACATTGGTTTGTAATTTAATTTTTATTTTGAAAATACACATATATCTTAGAGCCCACGACTCTGCCAGAATTTTTACAGAATTCAAAGCTCACTCCAATTAGAATTTCCCATGACTTAATTCAGGGGTGATGTTTTATGTACAGTACAGACACCTTAAATTTAATTTAGAATTAAACCGCTTCTCTTAGTGACCTCTGATGGAGTGGTGTTGCATCCTGTCTTGTATCTGTTGTTAGCTGGAATAGTTTCTGGTTCTGTTGAAACCCTGTATTAGATCATGGATGTTCTGGCATGTAGGAGCACCAAAATCCTGTTGCTGTTTCCATGACATTAGTTTTTTACGGGACAGGGTTGTTAGCCTTGTGCCCAACCTCCAATATGGAGAACCTGGCACCTGACATGGGACACGAACCCACTACCCTGAGATAAGGGGGGTCATGCTCTACCAACAGAGCTAGTCGGGGCCACCAAATTGGATAAGGCAGTTAGAAAATGGATGGATGTTTTTCTTGGAAAACTAGTTGTTTGAAAGCTGTAGGTTTTGTTTGATCCTAAATCCAAAATTAACACGTATATTTGTTTGTTGAGCATTACCATTTTTGGCTTATGTAAACCAAGAAATAAACTTGATGGCTTGTACACATAAAGCTTTATTTCATTATTTGGTCTTACAATAAATAGTGTGTTTTGTTGCCCAGGGTTGAGTTGGAATCCTATTATTTTACAAGTATGTTTTAAAGAGTGACTGTGATAAAAAGGTCATTTGACTTTTAGCCAAAAAATTCGCTCAGTTAAAAGGTCAGAAGTGACTTGAAAAATAATAGATTGACCTGCAGCCTGAAATGACCCTTTCATGCCTTGGATCCACCATTTCAAATACAGTTTTGTTTTTGAAATATATATTCACATACATTTACTATATACTTTACTATACAGGAATCTAGGTTGTGTCCCAGTTTATTTTAACAATGTACATATAAAAAGAAAGGAACTTTTGACCATTCATCGAGTGAACTTACAACAGGATATTTTAAGTTTATTAAATCCACTACTTCAAAAAGCAATGGAACAAATCTTACAACAATTGCTCAAGATAAGGGTAGTACTCGTGGGCTGGAAAATTGCTAATTCAGTGTCCATCCATAAAAAGGGTGACAATATTGAACCATGTTCAGTAATTATAAAATTAGTCATTAAGTATGACTAATTTTACATATAACATTAACTAAATAGTAGTTAGATTTAAGCTACATGATCATCAATATGGAATATGGAAATAAGATGGGTAGAGGGTACTCAATATAGATATAGAAAAAGTAAAGCATACTTAATTATCTTGTTCTTTGAGCAAGCAAATATAATTTGGTATACTTAGAGGTAAATTCTCTTTGAAAAAAGATGAACTGTTCAGATAAAATTCAAGAGCGGGGAAATAAATGGTAGATGATGTGTCATGCAGACAAGTGCATTTGTAGTGTAGACAAATATCTATGTTCAAAATTGGAAATGCTAAACTTAGAGGCTTCATATAAAACACGTTTTTTGACAATTTCGATCTTCTAGGAAATGTTGGGAAATGTTTGGATATACATATCAATAAATAACTCCTCTGGAATCAGTAAGCTGATATCCACCAGGGGGATTAGATGGTCAAATGGCCTCCTCAGATCTCAGATTTGTAACTATTCTCGTTTTTATATCTAGCTTTTATACCTGCATTCCACGTTAAGGTATTTTTTAAGTTTCTCTTTTTAGTTTTGCAATGAGAGCACAATACACATTAAACAATATTAAGTTACTTGTCTGCAAAGATGTCTTTACAGTTACTCGACGCAAGGTAAAGGATAGGATTTGTGAGTCGAGACGCACGGATAAACGGAGCGCATTTAAACACACACCCAACAACAAATCGATAAAAAAGTATGAACATTAAGATGTTACGTCCCTGGTGCGAGAGTGTTGCTTTTTTTTGTTAATTATAGACTTCGGTATACGGAAACATCATTTTCGAAACCTGAATCGGCACTAACACGCATGCACATACACACGCAATAGCCTACTGTGTATGAATGAAATTTTCAGATAGCCAAGACGAGCCTATCAATAAACGTAATTCGAATCAAAACGTTAGTAAACATTTTCAGTTATAATGAAAGTAAAATGAAACTATTTTACAATTGATTTAAAAAAATACATAGATCTAGGCAGGGAAACATGCCTCTTGAACACCATAATACAACAGCCGCGCGAAATCCCAGCATTATGAACATCCAGCCAGCTGTAGACTCCAGTATAGCGGAGATCGATGCTGACGTGTCGTTCCCCTTCGGAACCCGGAAGCTGTCTTCTTTTCAGAATGACGTAGCTCTGAAATTGGCCTATTGCTACAATGTCTTGCCTTGACTGGTAGCCCGGAAAAGGTAACAATTTGACGTGTATATCCCATGCATGCTGGGGTTGCATGGCTCCGTGTGTTTCCGGTGTAGTGAATGTGTAGAGTAGCATTCAAGTCTGTCTCTCTTCTTGGGCTGCAGGTCTCGGCAGAACAGTTACTCAGACTCTCGCTTCTTCTTATCCTGAATCCCACGGACTGTGCGTGAGACTTTAAACCAACGAGCATGGCATCTTCGTCGTCCTCCCAGGCTCAGGCTAACGCTGCCCCGAGTTTGCCGCTGCAGAGGGGAATAGTAAAGATGGTAAGAACAAAATACCCAGCAGTAGGAAGCTCGGGATTGAAGTTCTTCCGAACTGATCCAGGAGACTTCTTAAAGGTTCATAAATTGCATGCAGTGATAATGCCATGATTGTTAACGGACTTAGGCGTACGGTAGCATTTTACAGTCAGCACCGGTGGAACTTCAAAGTAGAGTTGCAACAAAGGTGGCTGTTTCAGGTTTAGTTTCTTGCCTGGAAAAAAAAAAGTGTGTTCGAAAGTATGTAAATGTGTAATTAGAAAGCGTGTAGTTACTTTTAATGGTCACATGAACGATGTTCTTGATCAGCTTAAAAGACTTGTTTGCACAGGCTTCGACTGTTTTGAAGAAAGAAATCTTTTTTACTCTTTATCATTCAACTACACGTGTAACGGGGAAGACCATCGTCAGGAATGTATTGACGCCTTGGAAGGCATGTTAAGCCGTGCATTGACTGAGATATACTGTGTAATTAGTATTGAACGAGTCATCTCTCTGATTTACCCAATATCCACGCTTTTAAGCTCTGTAGTAGTAGAGAGTGAAACGTATGTCGTGGCTTGTTTGGGGGGGGGAGGGGGAGATCAGATAAAATAGTTCTTGGAAAGGTCAGGTCATTCTTTAAACTAGATCAACCTTTACCCTAAAATCACGCTTACTTTAACCTATATTTGGAGGGCACCATGGCGGGGACAAGTGTTGATATGCTCTCTGTAAAAAAGAAAAGATTGGCCAAAGCCAGTTTATCAAGACCGGTGAACTTCAGCATGATATAGGTGACCAAAACTTGGGGAAGTCTGAATAGTTATCTGTCACGCGGAGATAAAAGTTTAATAACTCCTGGATATTTGTAAAAGCAAGGACTGTGTCCAGTTGTCTGTGGAGAAACTGACACGTAGCTCTGAAAGTCTCCCAAGTGTGCTACGCTTTCGCTTCAGCGGAAACTGAATTGGCTTGCGTTTTCGGAAATGTAGGGTATTTTGTTTTTTTCGTCAAAAGTTAGCAAGCTGCAATGATTTTGTCACTGGTTACCGTAAGCAGTTGGACCCGTTGGTTTTAAATCCAAAAACTGCATGTGTTCGGCTGGAATGGCGGTCGGACCCAAAGCACATTTGTTTAAAAATCGATGTTGGCAGAGACTTGGAATAACGTGCTCTTTTTGCAAAACGGCTTTTCCCCCTGTGATTTTATATCGACTGATTTCCTCTTTTTTGAGGAATTAAGCGTTTTGATTGTTTAGTTTCATTTTTAAAGAAAAGCTTGTTAAATAACCTCTTTGGGGGTATTAAAATGTTTGCTAATGCGTCTGCAACGTTTTCGCGTAGTGATATTTTTTTTTCTTTCGGTGCTTTAGAAAATATGAAGTATTTAACTTCATTTATTTTGACACTATTAAAATGTAATATAAACAAGAACCTATACAGGCGACTAATAAAACAACTCAACGTGGCTCCATTGAAACCCAATGACAATTGCATTGGATATATGTGTATTTTAATCATGGGGTTTTAATTTAACTTTTTATTTGCCTTTTAAGATTTATTTTTATTGGGTTTATGAATGTAAATAATTGATCAACTGTACAGCTTTTCTGCTTCCTAATATTGTATTTTGTGGTAAAATGGATAGAGCTTCAGATGCATTGAAATGACAATAAATAAGAGTGGAGAAGGGAAAATGATTATTCTTCACAACTGCATGCTTGATCCTAGGCCCAACAGCTCCCTGTCACAAACAGCCTATCTTCTAAGTGTAATGTAAATGAAAATTTAAACCTCGAGGCCACTGCCGCTTGTTGTCCTTTGAAAAGTATACACTTTGGATAAGTTCAGTTGAAAGTTTAACTGGTATCAGTTGTGAAATGATATAATGGTTAAAAGACTTCCAAGGGTGTTTCACTCCCTTTAATGTTCAGGATTTAAAAACATGCAAACAAAAAGTTAGGAAATTGCTTGTCATATTAAGTAAGAAGTAAATATCGAGTCTCTCTTGGACTTTTTAATGGTTTTTCCACAACCATTTTATTTGTCCATGTGTTAGTGACAGTATTCTGTTTTACTGGCAGGAGTTATTAGGCATGGTGGTTTATATTTAAATTATCCGCATCCATATTTAGGGTCAGCTATTCCAAATGTCTTCTAGTGCTCCTTAATGTTTCGGCTGTGAGGCCTTCTTCAGGTGTCACACCTGAAGAAGACTACATAGTCGTAACGTTGTCTCTTCTCTTTTTCTTTCAGCATGGAATAAACCTTTACCTGTTCCTTTGCAGCCTATGCATGCTGACACAGATACTTACTAGAGCTTCATTAATTGTTTTTCTGTGCTATAAACTAGTCCTTCAGTTGAGGAATCTTCTTTGAATGGGAGCATTTTTTCAGAAAAAGTTTTAAATGATTCCCTGGAAATGTTTCTGTGTAATTTTGTTTTTCCCATACATCTTGAAAGGCTTTTACCATAAATGAAAAAAGGTGCTATAATTGTCTTTTCAGTGATTTATTGAATTTTCACAACAGTCACCTACAAATGTGAAAAATAAGGTTAAGAGTGAAGGCTGTTGGGAGTCTTCACATCAAGCTGCTGCTGGTCATTTCCTCCTGGAAAACTGCTTTGCTAATTTTAAAGTTTGTTAAAATATTGCAAATACGTATGGAAATAACCACCTTTACAGTTATAGCAGTTTTCTTAATTGTAGGGTAAATGTGTACTTACATTTAAAATGCTGAGCTCTGGTGAAAGCTGTAGGCTGTTGAGCAAAGTAGGTGCTAATTAATGCTAAACAGCATTATCCTTCAGGTGTTATTCAGAATGTGCTTAAAAGTAACTGCACTGAGGTTAAAGTGCGAGGATGCTGATATGCTTTTCTTAGGAAATGCACAACAAATTTATCACTTCTTAATTAAAACATGAACCAATGTAGCAAATTCTTCACAATTTGATGTATTCATTCCAAGTATTGGAAGTATTCATTGGTAACACTATAAATTGCCATTAATTGCATGCATTCTCTTTAATATACTGTCAGTATGGTTTCTAAATGTGGCAGCTCTGCACTGTCATTTAATGTGTTTTAATTTAATAAGGTAAATGTTTTGTTAATTATTTTTCTGCTTTGGCAACACTGTAATTTGGAATTAAAGCTCTTTGAATCTGAATTAAAACCACAGACCTACCCCAACTTAAGGTGAATTTAAGTTGCTGTCGTGTGTTTCCGCGACCTGCTCACACAATTGCAGGCCTCTCAGACGCGGGTTGATTTTCTCGTGCCAGGTGCTGTCGGGATGTGCCATCATCGTCCGGGGACAGCCACGAGGCGGCCCCCCCCCGGAGAGACAGATCAACCTGAGCAACATCCGTGCTGGCGCTCTGGCCCGAAGAGCTGCTCAAAACCAGCCCGACACAAAGGACACCCCTGATGAGGTGAGAGCACAAGTGGCAAAGTCCACTTAAGTCATGCTGCTGTTGTCTGCCATTTTTCTTCCCTGTGTTGAAATAGTGTCTTCTGTGAATATGGTTTGATACAATCATACAACTATATCACTCCAAAGCTATTAACACATTTTTAATCCTACTGATCCTGTGGCATTCGGTTTAGTTTCTGGAAGGCCCTGATCTGGGGACTGATCTGGCAGGTTTCCCTAAAATACCTATTAAGTTCAGCAAATATCAATGTATACTATGTATATTGAGGATGATAAATTAATGGTTATCTATAAATACTGTTGTTTTTTCTGGACAAGGAGAACTAAGCCAATAGAAACCCAAGCACCTTAGCTTATTTCATTAGCTAAGAAAGATTTGTGCAGGCGCGTACTGATGTGTTTTATGCTTGATCTAAAATATGCTATTTTTTCTGGGAAATATTTACATTATCAACAGTTGATGCACCTGGAAATTAAATTTAATGACAGTAGACCTATTAACGTGCCACATAAAAGACATGTAGGGCAGACATGATCTAATAGTTTTAAGATTTACAGTCTTATTGTAAGATCTTCTTATTGAGACAATCTTATTGTCAATGTAATTTTTAATTATTTTTTACAAGAAGTAAAGATGCACTTAAAATACAGCAGCTGTAGAATGGTCATGATTGCTAAATAGTATTGAGAGAGATATTGTGATTATCTAGTCTTGTTTTCTGTACTTCATGATTGCTAAATAGTATTGAGAGAGATATTGTGATTATCTAGTCTTGTTTTCTGTACTCCAATTTCACAAGAACTTAACTGTTCATGATATGGGGCTATAGCTCCTTTACAGCCAGCTGAGAGAGAGTTTGATAAACCTGTAGATAGTGTAGTTTGAACATTGCACACCTTGGTGGAAATTGAGGAATTGCAGGATTGTGCAGTTGCATCAAATAATTTTTAAATCTTTCTTGGTCAGCTGTACAATAAATATTTGTACGGAAGTGTCTCAACATTTTCTGCTCTGAACCCTTGTGAATATGCTAATTTGGCTATAACTTAGTCCACCCCAGAGACATAGGTAACATTCCCTTATATGATAGTTTAAGTAATAATGCATCGCTTTAAAGTTAACTTAAGTAACATTGATCAATGAAAAGAAACAACAGTAATCACAAATCTTTAGTAATCAACTAAAACAAACATAAATCCCTGGTCTGTATTCAGTCTGCACTTTCTCCCTCTGCCTCTGTGATTATCATGCCGCACTGTAACGAAACGGGCAGTGATATTGTCAGAGAGCCTGTAAAGTCGTCTCCAGTCTATCATTCCCCACACCGTTGAAACGGAACTTGGAGTTTTTGTTACAAGATGAAAACAAGATCAGGTTGAGATGTAGTGGGTACCTGGGCGGGTGGCAGGGGGAAGCTCACTTGTTAGGTAGATTCAACCCATGATCCTACTGTTTTGACACTACTTGGCTGAAAAATCTGGCTGAAAACGCCTGTTTTTTTTTCCCCATCTAAGACCCTGTTGGCCAGACTGAATTGCGAGTTGGTGAATTTACGAATCTTAAATTTGCAGATGTAAAGACTCTACTATACTGCAAGCATGTTGGTAAATATCCAACGTAAGTGAACTGACATGAAGATATCCGTGCCTTTCCTTTATATTGAATTAAGATGCACAGTTTGGAAGCATTAAAGCTATGTTAATAAAGCTGTCGAGTTATAATTTAGGTGCTTTATCAAAAGCAGTGGGATTAAAATCTCAGACCTCAGCTGTGTCCCAAAGAGTTGATCCAAGCTGGTTGATGGTAACATCGCTTGTATGGTTTGCTCCAAAAAATGAATGAGTTAAAAGAATGTGTTGTGTTACTTATGTGTGAGATGCCAGAATAATCAAATTGTCAATGCCTTCATTGTAGCCATGGGCCTGGCCAGCCCGCGAGTTCCTTCGTAAGAAGATGATTGGGAAGGAGGTCTGCTTTACTGTGGAAAACAAGACTCCTCAAGGAAGAGAGTATGGAATGGTGTACCTCGGTAAAGGTATGGCTGTTTTTACAGAAAGAAGCCTTGAAATACAGATACCTGTTTTGAAATGTTGTAATTTGTTTTTTCTGAAAGCCTTGTTATCCTTTTTTTTAACACTGTTAATGACACTACTAAGAATAATGCGAAACTTTTAAATGTCGTCCAACTGGTGAAAATGGACAAGGCCCCCTTCTGGGAATCGTCTTATCTTTTTAATACAGCAGCTCAGTTACAAATCAAATGAGAAAAATCAGACTTGTCCTTGATTATCTACACATTTGGTTATTTAGCTACTGATGTAAGTTAACAGCCTCAGCATTGGTTTACTTTGTGCTTCTAAAGATCAAGTATTAATTTTCTTGTCATCTTGTCTGGTTCTGTTATTCTACTATTCCTCTACTATGTTTTGCTGTTGTTGGTCATTTTAGTTCAGAGCCACATGAAATTATATGCTGTATCTAAAACAGCCTAATTAAAAGATTTTATACATTTAGTTTGTTTTGGTGACAGTTAACCATTATTATCTTAGCGAAGCTGAATTATTTGGTTTTGCATTGCTTTATCCCATTAGGCAGACTAGAGATGTACAACAGGGGGAAAGTGCCGTTAAAACATAGGGGAATGAAAATTTATAGCACTACCTTTCCCCTTCAGTGTAGTGTGTAGTTAACCTCACCCCCAAAATCAGTTTTTCTTATAGTACAATGCATCAGTGAGCCTCACAAGTATCTCATTGACATTTTGAGACTGGAGTGTGATTAACAGATTAACATTCAGGTAATTTCTCTCTGTTCACAGATACTTCTGGAGAGAACATTGCAGAGTCTCTTGTATCAGAGGGTCTGGCCACAGTCCGACGAGAAGGGATAAGAGGAAACAAGTAAGCATTCTAGCCAGGCCTTCTGATTTTTGTATTTAATCAATAAAATATTAAATACGCCCTGTGTAGGGAGAAAGAGAAATATTTTTTCCCAGTCAATGCCGAGAAAAATGATCAGAAAGGATTATTTTTTAGTGCACTTTTGAAGGTGACTGTTCTGGTGGCACAATTGGTAGCATTGCTGCGTTGCAGTGTTGGGCCCCTGGGTTCAATTCCTGGGGTGCTGTGTGTGTGTGGAGTTTGTATGTTCTCTCAGTGTCCATGTGGGTTTCGTCAGGGTGCTCCGGTTTCCTCCCACCTACAGTCTAAAGTCATGCTGCTAGGTTAATTGGGTTCAGGGAAAGTTGATCCCGGTGTTATAGTATGCTTGTGTTCGTGTTTGCCCCGTAATGGACTGGCGTCCTGTACACAGCGTATCCCGCCTTGTCGCCCGTGGCCTGCTGGGATAGGCCCTTACTTCCCTGCGATCTTGAATTGGATAAAGCAGTTAGAAAGTGGATGTAAGTTCTTGATCTCCCTGCCTGTGTGGAGTATATTTAACTGGTTCCCAGAAGCTCTGATCTTTAAATTTTTAAACATTACAAAGCTCTTAATAAAGTGGCCAAAACGTCTACAAACCCTCCTCAAAACAACCATTGAATTGAGAATAAATTTTTAGAATTTAATCATATTAGTCACGCATGCCCTAAACATTTGTAAATTTTTTTTTTTAGCATTCTGTTTGAATTGTGAAAAGTTCATGTGGTCCAGACTCTTGCGTGAAATAGAATGAGTTAAACAAATATCAATGAACTGCTGGGCCAATATTAATGTCATCCAATATCATATTTTATTTTCGTTTTATTTAAACATAAGACTGCTCTTTTTCAATGAGCTTGAACGGAGTCAAGCTTGTATAGAAGTAATAAGGGCAGAAAATATCTCAGTTCCTGTGTAGTGGGGTTTTTTTTTTAGGTGAAAGTGGGCACAAGATTACAAGTAACCCTGTAATAATCATGGTCCAATTGTTAGGTGTGAGTAGGGTGTAACTTGTAACATGTACAAGTTGTTGGTCAAAGCTGTCCTTTTCAGGGGATGAGTGGCCCAACTACCTGTTGTAATGCACAGGCTCCATGATGGTCCCTTTTTTAAGATGATGGGTTCCAGTCCCCAGTGAAACAAGAACAAGAAGAAACCTAGCTCATCTTGGGCATAACTGAACTGTATGATAAGAACGTGCTTGTGCTGTGTCGACAGCCGAGCTGTATCAGCTCAGGTCCCTGGGGGACCAGAATGGAGAAAGTAAAGGGCAGGGTGTGAACTTTACCAGGAAACCTGACTGTTGAGGACAGGTGGGCAGGAACAGTGCTAGAAATCCCCATATATGTGAGGGCAGACAGGAGAAGTGAGGGTTCCACCGTGTGAAGTACTTTGGGGAGAACTAGAAGAATGGGAAGATGAGAGAAGCAGCATGTGTTGAGTGAGAGTCTGTAACATGAGACATTTGAGATGAATATACAGAGGGAGAGCTACGTCGGATAGGCTCACATTCGGTTTGCTGTGGGAATGCTACTGCTGACACAAGTTTTGAAACCTCCTCAAAGTAACTTTTCTTTCCGATTATGTCTGTGTAGTTTTGATGTTATTTGATAGGTACTTGACTCATTACCGGACTAGGTTCAGTAGTCTAGTCCATAGTTACAGGTATTTGCTTATGTTTATGCTATTTGATGTGTTCATGAGGGATTCCATAATGCTCATTTTAATATTGCTCGACTTGTATCTGGAGTATAAATGTTGAATGGCATCTGTGGAGAATGAGCAGTGCTGGATAGTCAAGATTTAAATGGTATCACTTTACTATTATGGATTATGTTCCACACAACCATACATAAGATGAAATTTACATAGGTTCGAATGCACTCTTGAGCTGCACATTCACACTTAGAACGTATTACAATACCTTAATATAAATTTACATTGTTACTATATTACTGTACTTTAATAAAACTAACTCAAACATAGAACATCGCTAACGTTTAAGTAACAGAATTTCGCTTACCTCCTGATGCTGGCTTGCTTTTCAGACTTAAAGGGTAGCACTGCAAAAGTGGTAGAAATTATTCCACTCCATTATTCCATGAGACACTGCACTCATAAGAGAAGATACAAGGCAATGTGCGACAAGAATATATAGATAAAACTAGGCAAAGATGATACACAAGGTTTGCGCTGTGCGTAATTTTTATAGTAATTGAGTACACCTAAAGACTGGAGCTGGTAGGCACCAGTCTTTAGGTATACAAGCCTAAAGCCCGGCTATACAAGCCCGAATTGGTTTTAGCCAGGACACTAGGTTACCACCCTTGTGCTCTTACAAATAGTGCACCAGTTCCTGTATGCTAAGGTCCTTACTACTTGGTTCTTAGTCTCCTCCAAATGACATCTCCTAACATCACAATATCCTGGTTCACAATATCGCATCGTTGGTTGAGAAGTTCTGGACTAGAGGGGAATGTGCCATCTACTGGTCAAACACTCTCATATACAGCAGCAAACTGTTTTTTCAACCTTGCCTATCCCAGTACTAACCAGTTCCAGCCTGGTTTAGCTTCTGATTTAATGATGATGATACTTTTATCTTTTATAGAATTACGTTTATCTTTCCAAAGAGGAAAACAGGGTTAAAAGAAAATAGTAACAGAGAGGAGATGACAAAATTAGCACAAAGAAATGCAAGGGATTAGAACTGTAGTAAAAGTGCATGAGCAGTCACAGCTGCCAATTAAATAAAACGCCTTACAACGTAGCCTGCTGGATAGCCCACTTCTCTAACAAAAGTCAGTTTATGATGTTGAACTTATCAAAACTGAAGGTTTGACACATTACTTGTGTAATTGATTTAATACTAATAACTTGCATGAGAAATATTTAAAGCTAAAGTGTTCAAGTTTATTTCTGAGAAAGAATAGTCTTAGTATTAATACACCAGTGAGGCATGTCATGTTCTTAAAAACATGTGCTGTAGACTACCACTTGCTGAGTTTTCCTTTCTGATTTGACACGTGAAAGGAGAGGTGTGTGTAGTGTCTTTTCAGAAATATCCCAGAAATTGAAAAAGCCACAGTTGGACTGCAGCAAAGCAAAAGCTTCTAGATCTATTGGTTCTTATGCGAAATTGTCTGAACAGATCTCCACTGGAACAAAAACGTTTTGTAGAAGATAATGTAGGCCAAAAATATTTCAGTTTTGTTCTTAAAATGTCCTCTTTTTGCATGCAGGTATTTATATTTCGGTGTGGGATCAAAAATCTGTAGCGAACACATCTGTGTCGCATTAATTGTGCAATGCGTCTAATTTAGCTACACTTTTCCTGTGTTAATGTGTTTAACCAATGCAATTCTGATTTATCCTAGTCCTGATCAGGTCAGGCTCTGTGATCTTGAGGATCAAGCAAAAGGTGCAAAGAAAGGGATCTGGAGCGATGGCAGTGGGTCCCACTCCATCCGTGACTTGAAGTACACCATCGAGAACCCTCGGCACTTTGTCGACTCCCTGCATCAGAAACCTGTAAATGGTAAGCGCTGGTCAAGTTGGAACCTTTTTTCTGTATTAATTCTTGTTAAGACTTATCCCCAGTGCCAGGTTCGGAGGCTGACTCGGAAGCATCTCTCGGTAGAGAGCCACCAAGCAGAGACATCTGCGTTGCACAAAGATCAGCCAGCCAGTCAGTCGGTGCAGGGAATGTCTCTGCCTTTAGGAGTCCAGGAGTCCATGCTGCCGCAGTTTCATAGCACTCATCCATGAAATATGGCTTCTTGCCTACAAAATGGTAGCAGAGACTCGTGTCTCTCTCTCTTGAGCCTTACGATAAGTTATGTGCTTTTCCTCTTTTGTTGTAGCTCAGTGTTTGGTGAGCTGCTTAACAAAAGTAGCTGCACGGTGATTAGCTATTACCAACTGAATGTGCTCGATGGGCTGAATGACTTCCTGTCAGTTGTAAACTCTTATCCACTTTAAGCATCTGAAATATATTTAACAAGCCTAATCTTCCCCCTTTGTTAAATGCTTGCCTAATCTTACCGCCTTAGTTTGTTTTCTCCCCCTCTTGCTTTTAATTCCATGCGTGTTGTGTTCAGACACTAGAGGTTAACACCGAGTTCGTTTGTGGAGTTAATTGAATACAAAAATCTTGAATCTTGAAAGCCACGGAGGCATGCAAGACATTCAAATTGGATATGTTCCAGATTAAGCTCTTATTGTGCCCTCTCTTTCAGTTTTCAGTGTAGCATCAATTGAGTATCGGTTTATCAGAGGATCAGTTTAGCTGTGGATTCAGAAACATGTTCTCTGTTCTAGTGATTCTTTTGTGTCCTTTTCCTTCAGCCATCATTGAGCACGTGCGTGATGGGAGTGTGGTCCGTGCTCTCCTTCTTCCAGACTATTACCTGGTTACGGTGATGCTGTCAGGTGTCAAGGTATGTTCACGTTTTACACTACATGTAGTCAAGCCCTGCAAATTTCTCGCTCATCCGCCCATCCAAGCAGAATATTTTGTGGTGAAATTATAATAATTATTATTATTATTATAATATATTCATTAAACAATGTAGTAATGGTTGAAAGCAGGCAATCCCTCTTCAGAATTCTGTTTTGGGAGCTTGAAAAGAAAGTCTTTGGTCAAAAGGTCATATGGCCTCTAGAGATTTTAGGAAACCTCATTCCTTCCAAAATTCGTTTTAGTGCCCAACTTTTAAACGGGAGCCAGATGGCACGGAAACGCCTGAGTCTTTTGCTGCGGAAGCCAAGTTTTTCACAGAGTCCCGCTTGCTGCAGAGAGATGTGCAAATCATCCTGGAGAGCTGTCCAAACCAGGTCATTCTCGGGACCATCCTTCACCCGGTAAGCGGCCGAGAAATGGAACACATGGGCTCAGTCCAATATTTGTTTTCTGTGCTTGCCAGCCTGCATGGCAGGTGGCACCAATTCCAGAAGTTTTTGTGGTTAATTTTGGGGTTCCTTAATATTGCCTGGGGGCTGCGCAATAAATAAGGGCGAAACATGCACAAGTTGAATGTAAAGTGATACATTTTCATGAAATCATACCTCATTAGCTGCAAAGGTTGCTTTACTTAAAATAACACGTGGTTAACTAAAATTAACCTTGGCCATTATTAGTTTAATCCGAAACAACAAATCTTTGCATTTGCTACAGACGGTCCTTCAGAAGGAGACATTAAACCAGTGTTCTCAAACTCTGTTCCTTGAGTCAATTTAACAGTTAAGCTAATTGTTTTTAGACATAGGATTTTCTTCTCTGGTTGATTATAGAAAACTAATTTTTTTAAGGCAGTTAACTGTAAAACACCTTTTGTCCTGGTTAAAAGTATTACAAATGGAGGGGGGAAGCAGAAGACAGTAGGTCCACCATGAATTGTTTGAGATCTCTCCCTCCTGATTACCTGGTCTTTAAAGATTTGGCACTGTTTGTACAAATGTGGGTGTTAAACTCGGTGTCTGGGCTAAATTCCTTTCTGTTTCTGTACGGTCTGATCTCCCTAAAGATGCACCTTAATTCAACTGGTAACAAAATTTCTCACTCCTACACCTGCTGTGTGTCTAGATCAAGGTGATACGTAATGGCTGTAACATGTTATCCAGGTGGGTTCTGCACTTCATTGTGGGTTTAAGCGGGTCCCCTCAAATACAATGCCTTGCAAAAGTACTCACCTCTAGTTGTGCTGAATTATAAATGATGTATTAACATTTTTTAATGTGAATATTTTTAATCAATTTGAATGTTCAGACTGAATCTTTTAATGGGTGAAAATGTCAAAAGGTAAAATAAATCCATAAAAAGAAAAAATACAAACTAAAATATGTTGATTGCATAAGTATACATAGTGGAATCACTTTTTCCTCTAGTATTTGCCTGGTCTTTACTCTGTCCTCTTTCTTCTCATTTTTGACAAGCTTGTCAGGTCCCTGCTGATAAATAGCAGGCCCATAATGCTGAGAGCACAATTTTTCACAGTAGGTGTTGACTGGGTGATGTGCTGTGTTTTAGTTTGGCACACAGATGTAGTGCTTTGCATTTAGGCCAAAAAGTTCCAATCTTGTTTCATCTGATCACTAGCCCTTTTATCACCTGTTTGCAGTATCGCTTATGTGGTTGGTTGCAAACTTAAAGCAGGATCTGAGATGTTTTTCTTCTAGTAATGCTTTCCTTACTGCCACTCAGCCATGTAGGCCTTATTTGACTCGTGATCTCATAGTAGCTCTCTACGTTCCCCGTTTTGCTGTTGGTTGGGACAGCCTGATCTGCGCGGTGTCTGGGCGGTACACTGCATCTTCCACTTCTTAATGATTGACTGCTCAGAGGAAGCCTCTATGCCTTTCTCTGGCTCTGTGCCTTTCTACAACTCAGTTGATCTGAAAACTAGGTCTTTTTGGTTGAATTAAATAAAATCTGTTAAGAGCTACCTCAGCTTCCTGCAGAAGGATCTGGTGAGCTGTTTGTGAGATTGCATAAGGTATTAGAAAATTAAAAATTGTTTTAGTTCTATGGTTTATTTTTCTTTACAATGTTTGCTAACATTTATTTTCTTGCACCCATAAAAAAATTTACTTTGAAAAAACTAAATTGAAAAATATTCACTTCAATCGTGTATGCGTCATTTGTAATTCCAAAAAGAGAAATCGTTGGAAGGGGTGGATACTTTTCTAAGGCATTGCATGTAAACATTTGTGGGATCCTGGGATCTGAGCTATATATATAGGGATGTTGTAGTGGATCTGTGTCTCAGGATCTGCGCCCATGGCTGGAAGGTTGCTGGTCCGTATCCCGCGTCCGGCAGAGGAATCCTACTCCACTGGGCCCCTGAGCAAGGCCCTTAACCCCCATCTGCTCCAGGGGTGCCGTATAAATGGCTGACTCTGCGCTCTGACCCCAAGTTTGCTCTCCATGAGAGCCACAGACAAGGAGAGAGGTTGGGGTATGCGAAAAGACAAATTCCTAATACAAGAAATTGTATATGGCCAATAAAGTGATCTCATCTTATATTCAATTAATTCCACCTATAGCTCTTTCATTGGTAAAGTGCATCACCCCCACCTACAGTGTAATAAAATGTAGTTGGCCAAATATTTTGTAGAAAATAAGTTTGGAAGACGAGATTTGAAGTTCAATTTTTTTTTTAACATTACTTGATTAACATTAGAGCAGTCTGAAAAAATCAACGTGACGTGCTTAAAAAGCATTTTGGTCTAGAGTTGGCTTCTAGTGTTCATTTCTCATAAGAATGTTTCATTATGCAATGGGTGATTTTGTTTTCTCCAGAACGGCAACATTACTGAACTGCTTCTGAAAGAAGGCTTCGCCCGTTGTGTAGACTGGTCAATGGCAGTGTATACCCAGGGAGGTGAAAAACTGAGAGCTGCAGAAAGGTGAGAAGACGATTTCTTGATGAAGCTGTACAGTGTCTTCCTTTTGGAAAATATTGAATGTAGTGGTGACTAAAGTGGAATATTCCACTTTTTTATAGTTCCATTGTGATTTTGGTGACATTTCAAACTGGATTAAAGCAAAACATTATGCAAGTTTTAAAGTACAGATTCAAGTGGTCAGCTGTGAGTTAACTGCAAAATAAGAGTAAACTATTTCAGTTGTGGAGCTCCCACTGTTACATTTTAAATCAATTTAAATTAGTTTTGGGTGGCTGTGTCTTTTAAATCAAAGGGCTGAATTTGTGGAAAAATAAATTGTAACTGATTCATTTAGTTAAAATGTGATGCTCAATTTTGAAAACCTTATGTTATTATAACATACAAAAGTTCTTGCTGAGTGCACATGCTTGGGGCTGAGCTCCGTTTTCCATTTTAATCTTAAACTTGAGTGTTCTGATTTCAATCCCAAAATATGTAGTGAGAATTCTTTGCTGTGGAAGTTTCCTCTCCTGAAGTGTTATTTCATTATTTGTTTTTGGACAGGTCGGCCAAAGAACGGAAAGTAAGAATCTGGAAGGATTATGTGGCTCCCACTGCTAACCTTGATCAGAAAGATAAACAGTTTGTAGCAAAGGTAAGCTTTATTAGAAATTCTCAAACGGCTTGTGACAAATGTGTGGACAGCATGGCCTGCGTTGTGCTGCAGTAAATGACTTAGTAAATGCTCTTGGTGTGTGAAGGAGATGTGCAGCTTAATCATTATACAGATCATTTACATTCTTACTGGGGAATAAGCATACCCACTTAGGAGTATAAACCTAACTGTGAATTAGCCTTTTGAGGTTGAGTGTCATTTATTTAATCCTGGCTTGGGTTCAATATGCTTAATGTTGGACAGTCCCTTGCTAGATATTTGGGACAGCTTGCATTGCTGCTGGGTGAGTTTTAATGGATAGTTTGAAATTTCTAATAGTATTTGAGGTTATTTTGTCCTCTAGTTCATTAATGTCAGCGGTTGATGGGAGGGAGACTTACAAATGTTTTTGATAGTGAAGGTGACATTAAATTGTGCAGTGTCCATGTAGCTGTCATATTTTGAGGATGAAGGGATATTTACACCTAGAAGGAGCTTTTAACAAGCTGTGTGTATGTGACAAAAGCCTTATCGCCTAAAAAGTGTTTCAGTAGCTGGATCTTTGTTTTCCTGATTGGCTTAAAGCAAGACATTATAGGAAAGCACTGTTCAAATTGTTGCTTTGGGACAGTGTCACTACAACAGTGTGGTGATTCTAAAAGTAACTTTTGCTCCAGTTAATTGTATACTGAGAAAGCAGGCTCTAATAAACTGTTTATGCCAAAAAATGTTTTTTTTAATTTGTTGTATTTTTATATGCACCCAGTTTTTTTCCACTTTATAATGGAAACTCTTGTAATCATATTTTTTCTGTAACTTAAAATTTAACTCAACTAGAGGTGTTCTACTAACTTCCATTTTCATATAAAGCTTAAATGTCTATTTTGCTTTTCATTTTCTGTTCCACTTGAGCAATTAAAATGTTTCTTAACTGTAGAATAAAGTGTATGTGCAAGAGTGGTTTTGTCACACAGTTTTCTGTACTTGTTAGTCTTTTTATGCTTTCATTTTGCTGACATCTCAGGTTTTTTAGCAACCAAAATGAGCAAATCAAATATTATTTGAGTTTTTGCCCTTTTTCATGGTTCATAAAATTTACATCTAATGGTTCCTTAATGATAAAAATACAAGGTTCAGTACATATTTTCTGTATTGCATGCTGTAAATTGCATTGTTTTGAATCCTTAAGATGGCATCATGCTTTTCTTGGAATAACAAAGCAATAGACATTTAATGGCCCATGAAATCAGTTTGGTAAATTTTATTATACAGTATACACAGTACTCAAGTATGGTAATGAGTGTTTTATTTTATTTTGGAAATAGCTATTAAAGAGCTGAAGAGTTTTAATAGCTAATTGTGGGAATGATATAAATTCTACAATGTCTAAAGATTCAGTGTTTGCTCAATCAAATTTTACTATTGGAGACCATTGTGTTTCTGTAATAAGCTTTGCATGCTAATGATTTGTAATCCTAGTGACTTCTCATTCAAATACTGACAGGATTGTTGAAAAACACTCCCTTCATAAGCTCATACTGTGTAGCATATAATTAATCTTTCATGACCTTTTTAATAGAGATTGTTTTTTATTTCATTGGTAGATGCTTATAATAGAATATTAATTTAGTTAACCTTTATGGGGATAAAAAAAATCACAGTACCTTTTCACCTTGTTCTTTATTTCAAATGAAATCACGATATGGTTTAAGGATGGTTTAAGGAAGGCTTTAAAGGATGGAGAGCTGGTGGGTAAATACACACTAGGTGGTGCAATTGTTGTTCTTCTGCTCTTCTCTGGAAAATCAGGTTATAAAAATGCTTTGCATTAATTTCTTGGCTGGATTCATCAAAATGTTCTGCATATACAGCTGTTCATTAGCTGGGAATTGACATCCTTAGTATCTCAGATATGCATTTGTGGTATATTTTTGCATCAAGAAAATATTGTGAAAGAATAGTTATTATGAATGTAAATAGTAAAATGAGAAGCAAATTCATGAAAGGCTTTTAAGAGGAATTTTGGACAGTTAATTCATCCTTCTATTTTTTCTTTCCACTCTAAATATTCTTAATTAGGCAGATATTATAGGCTTCTTATGAAATGTAATGGCCATAGGCAGCTTATGGAATATCATTTATGCCATAGAATACCAGAGATATTAATGTGCCAAATGATTATGACAAAGATTGGGGCTTTCAGTTAAACATAAAAGTGAGAACCAGTATTATGCATTTGCTAGAGCTTCCATCTTTTTGTTTTACTTGGGTTCACTGTAACTTTAAATCCTGTTCTTAAAATTTACTTGCACCATCATTTGAAGTGACTTTGAGTTGTATTGAACTGAGTAAAGGTGCTTGTATGAGACAAAAATTGTAGTGAGGGCTTTTAAGTGTTTTCATAAGGCTTACTGTTAAAACATTTTACAAAGCACCGCATACTAAGGAAGCTGTGTCATACTGAAGATAATATAGTAAGCAAATTGTTGTGGTATTCTCCATTTGTCTTTGTTTTAGTACCTACCTGGTTATTTCAAATCAATGCTTGATGTTTCCAGCCTACGTAATGAAGGCAGTACAACCTTTCATGAATGAAAGGCAGTGTAACTTTATTTTGTAGACGAGTGACGAACATAAATTTTGATTGAGAATTATCAGATCCAATTGAAGTGGAACCCTTTCCTTATTTCACACTTATGTTTTCGCAATTAAGACAGAAGGCAGGGATATCTAAAATGAGATTAGACATTGCTGATCTAGTTAGGGTTTAGCTCGTTCTAAAAGCTTTTTAATGTTAGACTATTAAGAGGTGTTATTGGGCTGCAGCATGGATAAACCTTCATATATTTAATGAATGTGAGGGCCTCATTAGATGCTAAGGGTAATATATTGGACCTACTAGGATAGGATTTTCCTTAGGAGGCCAGCCTGTGGAAGTTGAAATGGATTTTCGTCTCCCTGTGGTTTAATTTCTGCTGTGTCAAAAGGCAGTAGGTCAGCGCAGACAGGTGGATGATAAAACTGCTAATTCTCTCTCTGGAGGTAAGCTCAAAGCTGATGCACACCCACCTTTTGCTTAAGAATCGAGCGCTTAGCTAAACACTTTTCTGGGGGAGCTGGTTGTGTTGATGGTAAATGCGAGATGTCCTTTAAAAAAAATAGGACCAGCACCATCAAGATTTCTTTTCCCGGGGGAGGGGCAGGGCAGGGGTATGTGGAGGGGTCTGAAGGTGGTGAGGTTACATTCACTGCTAGTAATGCTCTTCCCAAGATCTGCCTTTGCTCCTTTGAATACACCCTCAGTTTTTTTGTGAGTATAAAAAATAAATACTTTGTTTGCTTCTGCCTGACACTCATTCACCTGAATTTTGTTTGCTAGACCACATCGTTTTTTTTGCTGAGTAGTGTTTGCCATCTGTTTTCAGAACCCGTCTGAGTTTGGATAATGAGTTTAGCAAGTTGGCTACTTGGAATTAAGCTGCAAATGACTTTTGAAAATCAGTAATTGAAAAGCAGTTGTTTTTTGATGGTTTAGTTGTATTCTTCAATTCAAACAATCTTGTTTTTCCTAAATTCAGCAAATAGAACTTTTTCTTGTTTAAGGAAGGAATGAACTGGGACTGAAAGACTTTGAAATGGCTATCAACTGTTAAAACATTTAAGCATAATTAAGCCTATTATATATATATTTGGTTAATATTTTCCATTTTCTCACTATGCACATTTTCCTGGTAATTGTATATGATCTTCTGTGGGATATTCTTTCATTACCTCTGTGTACCAACTTGAAACCGAGATCGTTCAAATACAGATATGTTGGTACCTGTTCTAGGTCTGATAATGTGCACGGGTGGTAGGATTTATTTTTGGTGTAGGAGAGTAAACTATGTGGATTTTGGAAGTCACTGTGTACATCTTTGAGCATGATTATACCATTGTCCTATAGCTTGGCTTCAATTTCACAGCAGTTTGTTTTTGTAAAGGGAGTGTTCCCTCCGCAATTTCTTATGTTCCCAAGTGTTTTTTTGGTGTCAATTCTAAAGAAGTTGCTTTTTCACCTTCCTATAACTAGTAAAATGCTTTTAGTTTGCAATGTGTTTTAGTAATACAGAGATTCTGTTCGATTTGAAAGTTAAATACTCATTCATGTTTGTTTTTTTAAATAGGTAATGCAGATTGTAAATGCGGACGCCATCGTGGTGAAGCTGAACTCTGGAGAACACAAGACGATCCATCTTTCCAGTATCAGGCCTCCAAGAATTGAGGGAGAATCTAATCAGCAGGTAGGGGTTATTATTAACTTGTGAATTCCTGATGCTTTTTTATTCCACACTCTAATGTAAAGTTCAGAAAAAAGAGAAAAATATGCTGAGCTGGTATTGTTCCTTAAAGCGCATAATATAGCTAAAAAGGCTTTGGTTGCCATTTCAGTATTGTTTCTTAGGGACCTCTGAGTTGCTGATCAGAAAGGTTTTCTTGAGCTGTTTACATGAGTTAGTAACTTACTTTTATCGTACTGAAGAATTGTGACTGGAAAGATTTTGTTTTACAGCTGTCGGGAGAGTTGCATTTGGATTTGTTTTCAGCCTTGCCTAACTAGATTTGTCATCAAGAGAATCTCTGACATGCAATAGCAGCAGAACTGGCCACACAGTGGTGCTCCTGTAATAAGAATATTGGTGCAGGAGCTTTGCAGTGAATGGGCTTGACTGCCAATTCGCCACATGGCTCCCTTACTGCAAAGCCTCTTTTGGTTGTTCCAGCCTTTATCTGTTACTTCTAGCAAGCCATTCAGTGATTTGTGCATATAATCACCTGAAAGATTCTGTCATTGAAACCAATACGCTAAGTGCGATTTGTAAAAGCCTTCTGTGATTTTTTTTTCTAAAACTGAACTGCTTTTTAATCATGCATGGATGAAATTAAGCCTTGTGCCATCATTTTGAAATGCTCCTTGATGCAGAATTCATTGATGTATTAAGAAGCTATCACATAGGCTAAAAGTATTCAAGGTATGCTCTGAGAAGAGGAATTAACTGCGGTTGATCTGTACCCTTATATTTTTGTACTTTAAATCTTTTAGTTCTCTTGATTTAGTCTACTGATACCTGTGGTCTTTTGGGAAAATTCCATCCCAATGCAGTTGTAGACAATTGGGAACTGACCATAGTCTTTTATGGTCTGATTCTTGTTAGATAAAATCCAGCGCATCTCTGTATGAAAGGTTTCACCCCTCAGGGATAACCATTCTCGTGAAATAGCTGAGAAGACGGGGCCTCAAGCCAGCATGATCAAGATCCAAAAGCCATCTTTTTCTGTTACAAGTGCAATTCCCTGCTGAGATCTCAGAAAGCAGAGGGCTGAGGCAAGCCTAAAGTGTGTGGTGACGCAGCTCATGCTGGGATCAGGATTTTCCCGATGACAGATCCGCAAAATCTCTGCCGTTAGGACCAAGATTTGTGATATAATCCTCATTGTTTCCAAATCATCTTTCCAAATCATTAGAAATTATGCCAGCTGTTTCTAATGGTAGCCACAGCATGTTTCACTGCTCGGTACGCCACAGAAAGAAACATTATGTTGAAAGTGTTGCCAGGCACTCAGCTGCTGTCGGTCAGGATGAGCAGCAGGTGGATATTGAGCTACAGGGAAAACCCAAGTTTTAATTAAAACAACGCTTGGATGGAACTGCAATAGTAAAACTGTAAACTAGCACTACATTGGAGCTGATTAGAGAAAGAAATCGGGATGGTTGAAAGCAGTTCACTTAGAAATCCCTAATGACAGACAGCATTTATAAAAGAGTAGAAGCTCACATTGAATGGGTTATTGGCCAGTGCCCATGCTACATACCATATACAAAGAGAAACAACTCAATATAAAGAAGAAATGAGTCATTCTGCTGTAATTAGGACGCCAAGTTTTGGTTTTAGATTCTGTTCTGCACACATTTGTCTGAAGCTTCTAGGCTGTAACTAAGAACCTATTCTTGTGGATTTAAGCACAGTCCTAACTAGGATGTATTCTGTTACTTCTGTGTAAGTACAGTATATTTTTCCCATGATTGAATAGTTAAATTATGCCTTCATGGTTGCAAATAAATATTATCTTTGTGAAATAAACATCTGTTTTTCAGGGCCTTCAGAACTTAACAGGATTTTAAAAGAGGAACCATCCGCTTGATAAAATTCTGAAGCTGACTGGCTTTAGGCAGATGTAATACATTTTTGTTCAGGCACAGGTTAATTAGACATCTGCTTGCAAAATTGTGTTGCTCATGCAAAAAGGAAAGTTTTTTTTCATGCAAAAATGTGGTAATTTGAAGTTACTAATAGTCTGATCTGAAATAACATTTATAGTTAAGTTATATGAAATCACCTCTTATTTCAGTGATCATTCAATGACATGAGTATTTTCCTAATATCATGGGATGAACCAGTACTGCAGGGCATTTTTAAATCAAATATTCTTAAAGATGTGTAATATATTTTGAAAGCCTTTGATATTTTTCTTGCCCAGTTCTAATTTAAATTTTTCATTTTGAAGGGATTTAGTCAATGCAATGTGATCTACAATTTTTTTGGGTGACTAACCTGTAACAGTTATGAATTAACTTCTCCATGGTGGTGCAATTAAACAGCCCTAAATCTGACCAGTTTTGTATTCTGTTTCGGGCGTGGTCAACCCTGATCCTAGAGCCACAGTTCTGGAGGCTTTATATTTTCATCATCAGTTTGTTGCCTTTGAATGTGATATATAATTGGTTGTTTTAAGTTGGGAAATCAGACTGTGGTTCTTAAGAGCTATAGGGTGTTGTCATTTTCATTTCAGGTGCTCTCTAACTAAAATCACCTGCTTCTGTAAAAAGATAGATATGATCCCTCTGTTAGCCATATACAATTTTTTGAATTGGGAATTTCTTTTCGGGTACCCCAGCTTGCTCTCCATGAGGCACACAGACAGGGAGAGAGAAGCTTGGGGTCAGAGGACAGGGTCAACCATTTATACAGCGCCCTTGGACCAGCTGGGGTTAAGGGCCTTGCTCAGGGGTCCAATGGAGTAGGATTCCTCTGCCGGCCGCAGTATTTGAACCGGCAACCTTCCAGTCACAGGTGCAGATCCTTAGCCACAGTGCCACCGCTCCGCCCTAATGCAAGCAATTTTCAAGAGTTTTAGGAATTGAATTTAATGGTGTTGGTAAAAACATGCTAGATTGTGGATATATTGTCACTTTGCATTAAAAGATTCACATCATTCTAGTTCTTGTGTAACTTAATTAGCATAGATGCTAATTATCATTAAATGCACATTGAGTATGATCTCATCACCTGCAGTCAGATGGCAGATAGGGATTGCATAATCTGACTGTGCAATTACCATAATTTGGATTGCATGCTCACACATGTTATTTAGCTTGATTCTTATCTTCTTGCAATTGGATGTGATCACCAAGGACAGCCATTCAATCCGTAAACAAGGGGGTATAAAAGATGCTATCAGTGATGGGGCTTGACACCTATCAAGAAGGCAATTGCCTGCTGCCAACTGCTACTGTACTCTTATACTTTTATATGCATTCTATGAATGTAAACACAAGCACAGTTCTTTGTATAGTGCCTTTCATATTGTTGAACAAAACAGTTTTCTGTGCTCCTTTGTATTTAGGAATTTACTTTAATGGAACAAAGCAAAAAAGAGCTTTCTCCAGATTTTCTGAGCTGAATTTGTCCTTCATGGCAAAGTCACATTGGAGATCAATGAGCTCCATCTGTAACTCTTCGGGGGCTTTCAGATAGTCAAATGACAATGGGCACAATATGAGCTTCACTGTCTCTGAATTTGTCAATTCCGACTGTCTAATATCTTTGCTGTACTTGTCTGCCTCCTTCAGCTTCACTTCCAAGGATTTGAGCATTGGAAAATGAGCAAAACAAATGTAATGCTGTTCCTACAAATACTACAACGCTGTTTGACTTTTTGAAAGTTTTGCTCTTTTACCTTAGTTACTTCTTGAACAGCTGCTTGTCTCCCAAAAATATGCTGAGCTTTTTAGTTGGAAACAAGCTCCTTGACTTTCCTTCTTTCCTTGATTGTTCAATACTGACATAATTATAATGCCTGTGGTAAAGTGGGGATTTATGTTTTATTTTTGGAATACTGCAACATTTTCCTGAAAAATCTATCCCTACAGCCTTTGTATTCACATTTGTGAAGCAAATGTTTTGGTGGCAATTTCTGCTTTTCTGTGGCAGTGCTCATTTTGATCACATGCAGGTAAATCAGATATCGGCTATAAGCTGAGGTTTCACAAAATTGCAAGTATTTAACGTGTCAATATACATATTAGCATTTTATGAGTTGTGCACGATGTAGAAAAGTGCAACATGTTTGGAATTGATTGTAATACTTCTGAAGATAGATCAATTTAATGTTTTTATCTTGGTAATTGGGTATTTGAATAACTGTTATGATTCGGAATAAATTGTGAAAGTGTGAGTGCTGTCATTGTGAATTGCTTTTGGTCAGAAATATAGCACTCGAGCCCAAAAAAAGAGCAACCCCAGATATATTAATGTGCTGTAGGTCTCTAAGTGATTTAAGAGGATTACATGATTTAATGTCAAAGGCAGCTGTACGGTCAACCAGAACAAGCACAGGGAGGATTGAACCTATGTGGATATCAGTCACTTTCACCATGGCTGTTTTAGTCTTATGGAACAGTTGGAAGGCTGACTGAAAAGCTTCAAAGAATACTGGCACCTAGATTTGTCTGCCTCAGTCTGCACATAAATCGGAGTGTCCTTACTGTAATGGTGCATGTTAACATGGTGACGGATGATCAGGCCTGATGGTTACTTAAAAATAAACAAAAGGCAAAATTTTAAAACAACCCGGAAAGGAAATGATTATTTAATACTCAGAACATGGAAACTTGATTAGAGCTCAAAAATATTTCATCTTTCACACTGTGGTAAAGTGTTGAATTATGATGCCAAAATGTAATATACAAGCTGGTTTTCTCACATAGGTAAAAATACTTGCTTAGTTTACATTATACCAAACAGTCCTGCACAGAAATGTTGATTGCTCTAGAACAGTGGTTCTCAAACTTTTTGGACCAAGTACCACCCCTGAACAAACCAAAGCATCCAAGTACCACCTAAAAGTCATCTTCTCATAGGAACCCCAGAAATTCTCAATGACCAACATGAGCGTGCACACTCACACTCACGTACACGTATAATAAATATTATAATTAACTTTATTTGGTATAGCGCCTTAA